TGTTTGTTGTAATTGTAGTATGAATTTACGGCACTGGTGTCACCAACGAAGCGCTGTGCGGTGCTGTCGCGCTTTCCGCTCAACACTCGTGTACTTGCTGATTGTGTACGCTGATTAAACACAGCAGCTTTATCAAGCAACGCCAATCCGCTGCCGTCGTATTTTGCACACCAAAAAAACCCGAACAAAATTAACAACAACAAAAAGTTTATTAATACCGCGCGACCGCCCGCAACTACTGAGGATGCTTCACTTTTTAATATGAATTCATTGGCCACTCACACTCGCCGTCACAGTCGCGCTGGCGACAAGTTGCCGCACTGTGGTGCAGTTGTTACTGTTCTTGTCAGCGCAGCACTGTGAGTTGTGCGCGTCGGAAATGCGCCCGAAAACCAAATAAATAATGCGTACTCATTGGCATAAATGGCCAAATGTTCGCGCATATTTCGCGCTTTAAATATGCCAGCGCAGCGTTGCGCGTTGATAAAAAGTAAGCGCCGAGCAACAGCAATAAAACAGGTAAATTAAATTTATTGTGTAAACCTGTCGCAGCGTCGCCAAATCGAAAGTTGGTCTCATCGCGCATTACGCGCCTTTCTTTTTCGGCGCTTTGCTGATCACCGGCGATTTGTTTGGTTTTAATGTCGCTATTATACAATACAAGGTATGCTGTTGAGGTAGAAAAATTCCAGTTTTTTAAGTTCATTTTTTGTATTAATTAAATAAGTACGTTGTAGACGCAGTTTAGGTGCTCTTTTGCCAGCAATTGCGCATAAGAAATACTTAACTTATCAACCACTTTTATAGACATTTTAAAATGCGTTGAAATAAAATTTGTGAATCAGCAAATTTTAAAGGAGTTCAGATTTATTTTTATATATATTATATTTATATACATACATAAGCCCCGTATTATTTAGGAAGCCATGCTTACAGTTTATCAATTACAGCACGGCGAGAATTTTTTAAAATATTTTAATCTGCTTCCGCTTCCCAGTCCGAATTGTGATAAACTCTTCTCAAAGGGTCAGCAAATTTTTTTTATTCCCAAACTTATACGCATAGCATTCGCATAAAATAAAAGGCGATATTCACTCCAGTATACTTATCTGTTATTATTTTCATATATTATGACAAAAACGTACACGCAAATTGTAAATAAAACGCAAAATATTTAATTATACCTCTATATTTGTTTTGTGGCCTTCAAAGTGATCCCAACTAGATGTAATCACTTATGTCAACGATTTATCTAGTCCTCGAAACATCAGCTCTATCGGAACGAGTCGAGCAAGATGAGATGTCGTGCTTTCTTGCCATCTCTCTAACACCCCCTGACGATTGAGTTGAAGAGGTCGATCTTTCGACCGTCTTTGAATGTTTTGTACAGTGAAAAAAATATGTATGAGAAGTACCTTTCAGAGTTTGAAATGTGGCAAATCGTACAAGCAACTGGTATAAGTTGGTATAATCAGTAAACTGGCATAATGAAGTAGAGATAGAATAACAGCGCGTTATACCGGTTGAATAAATTGGTTGCTTAGCTTTGTTGCTTTAACATGAAAGCAAGATAGTGAGTAAAGTTCAAACTTAACAATCAGAATAGTGGCGAATCGAAAATACCGCAATTGATTGTGTGTCAACTACGAGGTGGATCGCGATCATATCAAAAATCAAGTGATTTAATTATTTATTCCACTGCCCTTTCGTTCATTTCAGTTGGTACGGACTAAGACGATTTTATTGTTCTTTTAAGTGTGCACAACTAAGACAGAGTCTGTAGATTACCTTTCCCAACCTCGCATTAATTACGAAGTCAACAAAAATTAAAGTACGTTGGTATCTCTGTGAATTTGCGTGGTTGGTTGAAGAGGGAGACATACGAACGCTAGATCAGAGGTGGTCTCATTTAGGTCGTCATTAGGTCCATTGTGATCCAATCAAAATTAAGCGTTATCCAGCAAGTCAGTAGATTTGGTAAAAAAAATTGTGATTTTTTTCCATCCAGCTGTCCAAAGTCGCTTAAGTTGAAGCGTTTTGTAATTTATATTTCAGACCATTCCGTCTCATCCGTCTGACGGCTGGGCATTCGCTTAGATAACGTTCTCCTAATTTCATAAAAGTGGGAAGTATTATTTGCTTGCTAATTACAGCAAAACCCCATTTGGTGCCTTTTACACAGCATCATGATCAGAAAGACTCGATTAAAGGAAGTTAGTAAGAAGCTACCTTCTGTATATAGTTTATTGAAGCACAATAGGACTCCTGTTTTTTTTCTCCCCCCCCCCCCCCCCCCCCCCCCCTGGATCTGTCAGTGAATATGTTGATTTCACCGTTGGAATTCTCGATCACAAAACTATTGGACCGACCATTCTTCTCTACTATGGAATGAAACTTTGTGTTTAAACTATTATATATTAAGCAAAACATATTTAAAGAAACAGATACAGCTGTTTGTGACAGCTCTTATTGCGCTCAGAGCGCTTGGTTACAAAGTTGTCACGGCAAATATTGCTCAATTCTCTGTGTGTCATCGATTTAATCCACTAACTTTGTAACCAGCTAACATTAATGCATGTCTAATATAATCAATAGTGGCTTATAAAATTAATATTCACTGGCTAATGTAAATAAAGCCGTTATATTTTTTATTAAAGTCAATTTTTTAGCATAAGAATAAAATAGAAAAAAATTTAATGCCGCACTAATTAAATTCTGAGTTATTAAAAATGTTTATTATCTTTTTTTTCCTATCATTTCAGGTGAGTTGGAAAACAAACTTTACGTTCAAACCTATCAAAGCCATGAAAATTATTTACCAATAAATATGCGTAAGTCGGATTAAGCTGTTTTTATGCGCATTTTTTAGATGCAAAACAGAAGCATGTGTCAATAAACATTAGCAAATGATAAAATTACAAGCGAAGCGCTTTAATATTTCACAGTTAATGCACGTTTTTATATTTTTATACCCTGAAAAGAGTGTATTAAGTTAGTCACGAAATTTGTGAGAAACGATCAATTAACGAGTTGATATTTTGGATAAGCTTTTTTATTACCAAGTAACTCTATATTTGTTGAAATTGGCGATAAAAGTTCACTATAGCGTATAGCTGTAGTTCAAACTCAAGTCCTTGTTTGGAAAACTTTTTTATTTGAAAAGAGTTCTTTACGAAATTTGGTATAGGTTGTTATCTAGAACAACAGTACATTCTACAATGTTTAGATCGGAACACTACATCGTATAGCTGTCATACAAACTGACCGATGAAGCTTAAGTCCTTGTTTGGAAAACTCTTTTATTTGATGAGAGTTCTTCACGAAATTTGGTATAGGTTGTTATCTAGAACAACAGTACATTCTCCGAAGAAAATGTTCAGATCGGACCACTACATCGTATAGCTGTCATACAAATTGACCGATGAAGCTCAAGTCCATGTATGGAAAACTTTTTTATTTGCTCAGAGTTTTTCACGAAATTTGGTATAGGTTGTTATCTAGAAGAACAGTATATTCTTCGAAGAAAATGTTCAGATCGGACCACTACATCGTATAGCTGTCATACAAACTGACCGATGAAGCTCAAGTCCTTGTTTGGAAAACTCTTTTATTTGATGAGAGTTTTTCACAAAATTTGGTATAGGTTGTTATCTAGAACAACAGTACATTCTCCGAAGAAAATGTTCAGATCGGACCACTACATCGTATAGCTGTCATACAAACTGACCGATGAAGCTCAAGTCCATGTATGGAAAACTTTTTTATTTGAAAAGAGTTCTTTGCAAAATTTGGCACAAATGTTGTCAGCGCTATATTCCTAGAAAATTTTGTTCAGATCGGCCTACTATAGCATAAAGCTGCCCTACAAACTGACCAATCAAAATGGAGTTAAAGATATTTTTTACCCTTTCGTGTTATAGGCATGCAACTGTGCGGGGTATTATAGCTTCAGTGCTGCCAGATTTAACGTTTTTCCTCATTTTTCCTTGGGTTACACATTATTTTTATAATAAAAAATAAAATATGCTTATTTATAGATATTTTTTAATTCAATTTTTTTACGTTGAATATTAAATTTTTATGCCGCTTAGCACCATTGAAACTAGCAATACTTTTTTGTTGTAGCTGTATTAAATTGTCAACAGAAATGTTCACAACAACAACAGCAGCAATGACAATAGTGTGAACATTTGGTTTTGCCCATTGAAACACAAGCGTTTTTGGAAAAACTGCGAAGCGTTGCCAGAACCATGCAAAATCGCTTGAAAAAATATAGGCACATGTATACATACATAAATATGTATAATAAATAGATAAAAAAAATGTCTTACATGCATGCGTCTATTTTTTCACGATCTCACTTAAACTTTTGACAATGTCACAAACGTCAGTGGTAAAAAATTTATTACGCTCATGGACAGAAAAAAAAATATAGTGCGACTAAATATGTGCATATATAAATATTGCAGGAAGACAAAAAAAAAATTATATAAATACATATATATATATATATCATATATGCCGTCATGGCTTGTTAGTAGCCAGTTTAAATTAAATAAATTAAAGCAATGCGTCACAACAGCAGCAAAAAAACAAAAAACTTAAACCAAAAAATGCAAAAAAAACATAACATGACATGGCATAGTGCGCCATAGCATAGCATATCACCAAATAAATAATTAAATGCGCGTAAACGATCGCTGAATTATTCATACCAATAAATTTGCGCTGACAATGAGCCAGTGAGCTGCTGCCCGTATGCGCGTGAAAGAGATAAACGCGCCGCTGGGAAATATACAATTTTGTTGAAATAGCGATTTTTAATGAGCTATTTTGCCAATATCAAGTGCAAATGTCTATAAACAAGCCAATTGACAGGCTGACTGTATTATAAACTATTGACTGCACACACAGACCATTATGGCATATAGGCGCACCTACACACATGCACAGAGTTATCACTTGAATGTACCGCTAGTTAAATATACACATGTACATACCTGTAGGTTTAATCAGCTGCCAATTAAAGCTAATAAATGTTGTTGTTGTTTGTGCGGACTTTAACAGCTGCCAGCGTTTGCTTTAATAAGTTGTATGCTGTAAGAAGAGCAACAAAAAAAGAAATATTTTAATTAATTAAAAGTTACAAAACTTAATTATGTATGTGTGCATTTCGTGCTACTCACTAAGTAAATAATGATTCTATAAATTTAAACTCATTTTAGCCGATTTGTCGTGTGCAAATAGCAAATAGCGACTAATGAAAGTTTGAATTATAAATTCGAGTGTTGTAAAAATTTAGTTGTTTTTCCAACTAATTAATTTTTGTTTATCTAATTTATTTTTACTTTAACTCATTTGTTTGTTTAAATCATTGCCATATGCCAACATTAATTATAACTATTTGACATTATCATATATGTATGTAAATTTTTTTTTTATTTTTTTTTTTTTTTGTCAAAATGTGTCATAATAATTTCTAAATAAATAAAACAAATATTTTCTGCATCGAAGTTTATGGTTAAACATTACTATGCGTGAACACTTAGAAAGCTAAAAACAATACACAAAAATTATTCGAAAAGAATACAGAATAATTTTTCAAAATAATAAATTTTTGAAATCAATAAATGACAAGTTTTAAGCAATGTATCGCGTTTTCTATTTGAAATGATATGATTTTTCAGTAGCTTGTCGTCCATTTCTAATTTGTCATGATCTGCAAATTTTCTTTCGTTGTAAAGATTCCTTAAAACAAACGACAAAAAAAGACGAAAAAAAGGTTAGGATAACCGAGCTTGAGAAATGTTTCGACTATTCAATTAGTAGGGACTATTTAAAGACGCCAACATTAATGTATTATAGACGAATGAATAAGATTTATTTCAAAAAAATTCAAATGCCCATTATTATTTGAACACATCTCGTATATTATATACTTATATGTATGTAGATAAGTTACTGAAATTTAGTTAAATTAATGTCTGGGGAAACTCGTTAAAGTATGCTTTTGAGCTCAACATTACATCGGGTACAATTCGATTTGGCGAACTCTGTTTACTGAGATGCCCTAGCTTATTATTTTTACAAATACACAGTACTGAGTACTGAGATTCTTAAATTTAATAGTTTATTTTAAAAATGCATCATAATGAAATGTAAGATATGCTAATTGTGAATTAGTACTTAATTGTCATTAAATTAGTGCAAAAGTCCTTATAAGGATATTTCAAACCTAGTTTCATTGGAATGTGAAATAGCAAAAACAAGAATTAAAATACCAATTTAATTTGCTTGAGATTCGATTAATAACTAACAGTAATATATATTTTTATACTATGAACAGTATTTCCCCTTAGTTTAGTTAACTATGTGACTTTAAATAATAAGAAATTTCTCATTTTTTTCTGTGGAATTACACATCATTCTAACTCCATTTTATTTACGGGCTGTGACCCATATTCAAATCAGATTTAGTTTTACCTGAATATTGAATTGTAGTTTTGAAAAACTTAAAAATCTTTCCTTATCAGCTGCCAAAGAATACAAAAATTCATAAAAGTGGCTCAATTTCAAAGCATTCTCATCTAATTTACAAATTAGCTGTCACATTTTTAAACTTAATTGTCTCAATTTATTACTTAACCACCGCAATTCACAAATTACTTGACAAATTTCGAATTAATTATTTTATTTTTCAACTTAATTGTCTCAATTTACAAGTTAATGACCTCAGTTTACAAATTAGTTGACTTCAAATTGAGGTTTCGAAAATCTAAAAAAGAAACTTTCTTTAGCAGCTCTCGAGGATTAAAAAAATTTAAACGTGTCGACGACCCAATTAAAGCATAGTCATCTAATTTACAAATTAATTGTCTCCTTTTCAACTTAATTTCCTCAATTTACAACTTAATTACCGCTTAAAATTTACACTTTTATTTAATCTATTTACAGCTCAATTTCCATAACTTACAACTTAATTATCTAATTTTTCACATTAATTACCTTAAGTTACAACTTAATTGTCTTATTTACAACTCAATATACTCAAATTGTAATTTAATCGCTTCAAATTATTATTTAGCATACTCAATTTACGATTTAATTACTTCAGCTAATTGAACATAGTGTTCTTATTTAATTAATGGTATTAAAAACACGTAAACCCGTTGAGAATTCAGTTCACATTTTACGACTAACCAATCTCCAATTTGCATTGCATGACAATCTCCGCACAGCATAAAGCTTTACTCTTGTTTTTCAGCTCAACTTTTAATTTCTCACTTTAAATCCACCTGTCAGTTACATTTTACCCGAAAACCGGTTAGCCGCCTCATACCAGTTATTTTGGCCAGCTGATGTGGGTTCACCACACAGAATTATGTAGGCGCCACCGCACTTTATGTGATACCGCCCACAAAAGAATAACCAAAACACCACTCTAATTTGTTGAAATTGACAGTTTAATTCAACGCATCAGTGCGTCTTTGCGACTTTCTTTTTAACTTTTCTATTTTCGTTGGCCTTTTTTCTGCTTCGATTTTACTTTTAGTTAGTTTAGCTTTAAAAAAATTCATTTTATTTATTCAGCTATTGGAACAAATAAATGGTCATTGATTTACAAAAACAAAAAAGTGAGCTATGTGTGTGTGTGTAAAGTCAGAAGTCCAGCGGTGCCCTCTATCAATGGCAAACAATGGAAATTGACAGTTTCGGTGACATTTAATTCGAAATAAATTTGTGTCAATTTCTTTTGTGGAAGGTTATAAGGAAAGGCACGTTTGTATGTACATATGTATGTATGGAGAGCGCTTTGTTTTACTAGTGAAGTTCTGAAAAAAGTTTTGATTGTGTGGTTATGTAAGGTTGAGGTTATGTTAACTTTGTCCGGTCCAGTTTATTAACATCGCATGAGTGGTTGGCATAACACCACGATTAGGAGAAAGCTAATTCCGGAATTTTATCTTGTCTTAACGAGCAATAAATCATCACTGTGCGATTAGAATAAGATTTCTAAAGAGTTTTTAGATTACAAAATTATATACATACGTATGTGGGTCAATATAGGTCATGATTGAAAACAAGAAGAATGTACTTAAGAATCAGCAGTTAGTTTTTTCGTTTTCAATTAACCCTTGCATGATAAGTATTAAAAGATAACCTATAAACATTTCAAAACTAAAGGTATTACTCTGAGTTTTTGAAAGAGAGGAGTTACTTTTTTCAATTAATCAGGAATATATATACTTGTGTATATATATATGTATATTTATACCGAGTATCGGAAGTTGTCCTTCTCGATGTCCCTAATTATGCCTCAATTTCTAAAAATGGCAACAAATGTCAAAGAACTGTCAAAAAGACTCATGGCTATGCAATTTGTATGAAGCATTGCTCAACACTGATGCCAAAGATTTTTTTTTTGTTTTTGTTTTTTCAGTTTTATCAGCACGTTATGCTTGCTTGGAGTTGGGTGCGGAAGCTGAAGTGAGATGTTGTGATACAATCATCAATAAAGACTTTATTAAAATATATGTTGTTAATTTCATTTTTCCATCACTGAGAGGTGACTGAGCACAGTTTAACATCGTCTCATAATAGCTATTGACGTATATATATTACCAAGCTGCAGTTGGCCAACGACTCCACGACAATTTCCACGACAGCACGAACGGCAGCCTTCCTCAAAATTATTTTCGGAATATTTTTTCCTCGAATTTCACTGAATCTTACTAAGTTTTTGAAGTGACTCTGTACTCTACTTAATCCTAAATAATAGCTCTGAAAAGAGCAAACAGTCGTTGGTGGAACATCGTATAGCTTATTGTAAGGTTCTTCATAAATGATGGGCATGAAATATTTGATGTTGAAAATCATCTTCAAAATTACTGTACATCACAATTTCAGTCCAGTCCAAAGCTTACACTTTCTCTCTAACACTTATCTTCGGCAGTGCAAAATGACAGGTTCCGGATGAGGAAAAAAAAACTTGTAAAGCAGCTTTTGTGCTATATCTATATATGTGGTATTTTGTATGTACGAATAATACATGATTTGCTAATAATTGATAGGTTACTTATTTGGTATAGCAGTATAGTTCAGTTACCGGTTAAGTTACTGGTTAGTTACACCCGAAATCGCTATTGATATTTAACTTTCTACAGTTGTCAGTTGTCTAAGGTCAAATTGATAAATCTAATCGTAACTCTTTTCTACAATAAATCTTTCAATATATTGAAGATTCGGTAGTCTTAACTTCCTGGGTACAATTACTCACTTTGAAATCGTGACTTTAGCGCTCAGTTGAATAATCACTAAATTAATCAGAATTTGTTTTCAACGCCTTTCACATTCCTGGCACTAGTAAATACATACTATGTACATACATACATATGTATAATTTATACACACGTACTATATTACATGCCTGTATGCGTGTTCAAAGATTACTTCCACGAAATATTAAGTGCTTGTACTTACACATTTAGGTGTACATAAGTAGTATATTTTCATGCGCTAATTTTGATTACTTTTTTCGCATTTTAATTACAATGCCCTCCGCGCTCAATTCGCCATTTGTCAGCTCGAACACAAGTGGCGTAGGAGAGTGTGCACTAACTCAAACGTAACTGAAGTGCACATGTACTCAATGCGCATGGAGCTTGCGAGGGTGTGCGTGCGTAGCGTCTTATCAGCTGACAAATTCATTACTTTCAGCTGCCAAAGGGGCTACTGCGACTGCTGGTGATGCTGAGAAGATTGAATTTGTTGCTGCTGTTGTTGCCGCGGCTTATCAGTGTAACAGCGCGAAAGCAGACAACAGACAACAGCCAGCATTACAGGGCCAAAGGCGGTAAACACAGACACAAAAAGTGTGTAAATATACAAAAACATTTGTATGTGTGTGTTTATTTGCATAAATATATATTTTATGGGTATATAAATAGTAAATAAATATACCTATGTTTGTATGTATATAATGAGCTATTGTAAAGCAGTACTTCAGAGCAAAGCAAAAACAAATGAATTTATATTTTCATTTACACATACATATTTGTATATTATATATGTATGTACATATATCATTATATTGTATA